GAAAGACTGTGTTTGCAAAAACGCTGAAAAAACACACCACGGACACCCTAGCCACCATTGACTCTATAAGACAGAACCGAAAAGGGATCAATATTGGTTTGCGCTAAACAACTGTGGCGTGTGGGTGCTTTCATCCCGGGTTGCTACAGCAATGGATGCGGTCCACATAAAGCAGCTCCGCCGTCTATTAGGGATATCTTACCCGGAAATTATCGCCAACACAGACCTATATACCCGCTGCAATGCCGAGCCAATATCCGTACTAAGCAGAAGAGCACGGTGAAAACTGTTTGGTCATATTCTACGCCTCCCTGAAGCAACTCCAGCGCAGGTGAGCATGACAGCGTATTTCCAGCGACAGAATCGGGGCTGGCTCGGACGCCCGCGCATCACCCTACCAGTGGTGATAGACAACGAATTAGCCAAGGCGACGTCCGTGCGTCTCCGGAGTCTGAAGGACCTGGAGACACTGCGTTTGGTGGCTCGGAACAGGCAATCATTTAACGATATAATCGCACAGGTCACATTGTAGAGTGCAGATCACCTAGTGCTTTCAACAATAATAACGTACTTCCACATTATGGGAATTTGGTATAACCCCACACCCGTCATTGTTGAATATTCGATAATAGCGTGAATTTCCCCAACAATATATTTTCATGCAATGTAAAAAACGGTGGAGACGATGTGCAATAAAACGATGAAAATATGAAGAAATGGTGTAGGGAAAAAATATGGATTCAAACAAGTTTCGTACAACACTCATCAGGAATCGTCGTTGTACTAAAGGACACTGAAACAAAAATTGAACTATTATAGAAAATCTAAGTTAGAGAAATATTCCGACTCTTCGTTCACTGTATTGTGCCGTGGTCGTCATGGTTATGGACTACAGTTAAAAAGTGTTGGAAGCTATCTATCAGCGTCTGTACAAGTCTAATTTGTGTGTACAGAAAGATAGTATAATTGGGTTGAAATTGTTCAAGTAACGTGTCGTGTTTAGCGCGGCCAAGCTTGGCCGTTAATGTTCTTGGTGTAATGTACTGCTGTTATGTGTTATCACGTTGTCTTTCCTTCCTTTCTCCTTTGTTCAGTTCTCGCTTTGATTGTTAAAATTCACACTTGTAAATTTCACTGTTGTTGCTCTTAGTGTTATTTCTCTATTAAACTTAGATTTTCTATAATAGTTCAATTTTTGTTTCAGTGTCCTTTAGTACAACGACGATTCCTGATGAGTGTTGTACGAAAACTTGTTTGAATCCATATTTTTTCCCTACCCCATTTCTTCATATTTTCATCGTAATATATTTTCATTTTTTGTTATCCTCTCCCATGCCGTTGTACATAAGCGGCTTGCCGCGGATATGTCAATACTACTACTACTACTACTACTACTACTACTACTACTACTACTACTACTACTACTACTACTACTACTACTACTACTACTACTACTACTACTACTACTACTACTACTACTACTACTACTACTACTACTACTACTACTACTACTACTACTACTACTACTACTACTACTACTACTACTACTACTACTACTACTACTACTACTACTACTACTACTACTACTACTACTACTACTACTACTACTACTACTACTACTACTACTACTACTACTACTACTACTACTACTACTACTACTACTACTACTACTACTACTACTACTACTACTACTACTACTACTACTACTACTACTACTACTACTACTACTACTACTACTACTACTACTACTACTACTACTACTACTACTACTACTACTACTACTACTACTACTACTACTACTACTACTACTACTACTACTACTACTACTACTACTACTACTACTACTACTACTACTACTACTACTACTACTACTACTACTACTACTACTACTACTACTACTACTACTACTACTACTACTACTACTACTACTACTACTACTACTACTACTACTACTACTACTACTACTACTACTACTACTACTACTACTACTACTACTACTACTACTACTACTACTACTACTACTACTACTACTACTACTACTACTACTACTACTACTACTACTACTACTACTACTACTACTACTACTACTACTACTACTACTACTACTACTACTACTACTACTACTACTACTACTACTACTACTACTACTACTACTACTACTACTACTACTACTACTACTACTACTACTACTACTACTACTACTACTACTACTACTACTACTACTACTACTACTACTACTACTACTACTACTACTACTACTACTACTACTACTACTACTACTACTACTACTACTACTACTACTACTACTACTACTACTACTACTACTACTACTACTACTACTACTACTACTACTACTACTACTACTACTACTACTACTACTACTACTACTACTACTACTACTACTACTACTACTACTACTACTACTACTACTACTACTACTACTACTACTACTACTACTACTACTACTACTACTACTACTACTACTACTACTACTACTACTACTACTACTACTACTACTACTACTACTACTACTACTACTACTACTACTACTACTACTACTACTACTACTACTACTACTACTACTACTACTACTACTACTACTACTACTACTACTACTACTACTACTACTACTACTACTACTACTACTACTACTACTACTACTACTACTACTACTACTACTACTACTACTACTACTACTACTACTACTACTACTACTACTACTACTACTACTACTACTACTACTACTACTACTACTACTACTACTACTACTACTACTACTACTACTACTACTACTACTACTACTACTACTACTACTACTACTACTACTACTACTACTACTACTACTACTACTACTACTACTACTACTACTACTACTACTACTACTACTACTACTACTACTACTACTACTACTACTACTACTACTACTACTACTACTACTACTACTACTACTACTACTACTACTACTACTACTACTACTACTACTACTACTACTACTACTACTACTACTACTACTACTACTACTACTACTACTACTACTACTACTACTACTACTACTACTACTACTACTACTACTACTACTACTACTACTACTACTACTACTACTACTACTACTACTACTACTACTACTACTACTACTACTACTACTACTACTACTACTACTACTACTACTACTACTACTACTACTACTACTACTACTACTACTACTACTACTACTACTACTACTACTACTACTACTACTACTACTACTACTACTACTACTACTACTACTACTACTACTACTAC